TATTGTATTTGTTAGGTGAGTTACCTTCTCCTGAGGAAGAACTTTTAAATACCATTTTTATAACCTTTTGAAAAATATTACTTTTTGGATTAAACAGCAAAAGGATGCTCAGAATATGGGCTTTAGAAAGTTTAACAATAGATTAAGGGGTCAGATGAACTTGGAATTATAATTTTAAATGCCCACAAAGAGCCTTGAATTAACTAGAAGAAATTATCTCATGGGGAAAATGGCGATTTTTTTTAGTTTTTTCATGTTTTTCATTATAAAGGAACTTTGAAGGTTGGACACTAGAGAAAAACTCAGGAAAGGAATACAAGGTTGACTTATCTGACCAGGGCTAAAGGAGAAAAATAGTTACATCTGGTTGCTCTTACTGGACCTTTGCTGATACAGAACGACTGACGAAGCATTTGGATTTTGTTTTTTTTAATTCAGTAGATGAGATATGGGGTGAAGAGAGATTATGTTGTATTTATCACTATCTCTGTTAAGATTGCCTTTACTTGCTGGGATAAAGGGGAAAGTTACATCTTTCTTTTCCTTTTCCTATTTTTTTCTTTTTTTCTTTTTTTTTTTCTTTTGTATTTTTCTGTTTGTATTTTTTGTAGCCTGAATTGGCTTTTATTCTTTTCATTTATCATTCTTAATAAAATTATTTGGAAAAAAAAGAAAAAATATGTAAAACAGTAAACCTGAGCATAAGCATTGGTCTAAAGTGATTCCTACAAAGGAAGCATATTAGCACTGGTACTAAACTGCAATACAATCATTTGTGCTAAAATAAAAATATACTATTGAAAAAATGTCAAATTTGCACTCAGAAATGGGTGATTGATCCATTCAAATTTTTGGAACCAATCATGAAACATGTGCAAAATTGTCAATAAGGCAACACTGATGAATCGCAATAGAAAAGGTAACAACTACTTGTTAGAATCAGAAACAGATTAATATCATAGACAACATTTTTCTATAAGTAAACTTAGAAATAAACTTGTAGTTCTCCTTAACTACTTTATTCAATGATCCTACTGTGCTTTGACATTGCTTACTACTTGTATACACAAAAATGAAGTATCTACAAATCATACCAAATTTCACATTTATAATTGTCAGCTTCCTACTAATAGATATTTATATATTAGTTCTACAGAATAAAATTCACTGTTAATATATATATATATAGAGACCCAAAACTATTTAGAACTATATTAAAACTATGTAGAATTAATAATCTTGCTAATGAGCAGAACATTTAGATTTGTGAAATTCAGGATTCATTGATGAAATGTAGCACTCAAGAGAGTGGTACAAATTATGAATTCCAAGTTCAGAATGAGTTTAAAATAATGGTCCATTAAACTAGAAGATTCCATTTTGCTCATAAAATACCTGCAGGAAATTAGGTGCAATTTTTCTTTTGTAGTCATAGCACGAAACTAAGGAGAAATTACAGTAAAGCAGCAAAAGTTCACTGTATCCCATTTTAAGATTTGGTTGTTGTTCCATGCATTTCAACTAGACGGAACCTTCTGTTAAAAAAGGACTAACAACAAAGTACATACAGAAATCCATATGAGAATCTGAATTCATATTTTATAATATCAAATACAGTGATCAGTAGGAACATAAATATGGCAAATTCCATCCAGTTTGATCACTTGAGTTGGAGTAAAACTGAATTGCATAATTCTACTGATTTATCTACCGAAATACAATTGGCAAGTCTTCCACTACAGAAAACCATAAAACAAGCAAATATACAGCACACATTTGTCTATATTTGTCCTTATATTTGTCAAGGACTTGACTGCTTCCATTTAAACCAATAGAAGCTTAGTTGTGACAACACCTGCAAATGTCTCATAGAAATTTACACAAAATACCCCAAAACTGGAAAAAAAAATGAATAGGCAGGCTTAAAAATAAAAATATTGATATTTGAAGACTTACGGCTATCATAGCATATGTTGCCCAAGGCACGCCCCGTTTGAAGAAGCACCTCCTGATCTTTACAGTTTAAGAGTTGAACCAAAGGTGGGATCAAGCCAGCATCCACACATGGATTCCGCATAAACTCTACAATCCACAGAGAGAGAAATGAGGGTTAATTAAAGGCTATGTCCTGAGAATTTATTATTGGTAAGATCAAAACAGCTGTTCTTGTAAGATGATGTTCAAAAGTTAAAACATTTTAACTTTTATCATGAGATCCTCATGTTTAGGTAAAATGAGGATGTCTTAATCCTTGTTCATATCCACAAATCCTGAAATCCTCTTCATCCCATTTCTTTCAGTGAGTCTAAATATGGCTAAATCTGAATCCAACCCATAGTAATTTACTGCCTGAAAGAGCTGGGGGAATTTTCATTCTGAAGTATGACTATTACTTGCCAGGCTTTGAGTATATACCTTGACAGTAGTGTAGGGTCTGTAAAGCAATAAACGTTCAATGCACTCTGCATGCAGAATGAAATGGTAATCTTTATAACCCTTATAAGCATCCCTCTGTAAACGGTAGATTTTAAAGAATGCAGTGAACATGCAGCTTGCATAAGGTTGTGAATCTTTTTTTATGACCCTGAGAACATCTAGGAGTTGTACTGCTACATTTTGGCAAGAAGCCAGTGATTAATAGCAATGAAATTTCCCATCATTTTGGGCTGGAAAAAAAATGAAAAATGGAAAATCTGGTGCATATGCCTCCTTTAGGTTTAAAACATCAAAAACCATCATCAATTCCACCTCACATCCTTTACCCCCAGGGTCCACTTTGGGACAATCTTGCCTTCGCTCTGATATCATTACAATACTTCCCACATGGCATGAGTCTCAGCCACCATTTTTATTTAAAGTACGCTCAATGCTCACTCTTGCTACTAACACACATTTCTGAAAGTATGTTCTTCCTTTTGTTTTAACTAATAAAAATACAGAGGTTTTTCTGCAATAATTAACAATATAAAAAGCATTGCAACTCCATGATGTTTTGTTGGGACTAGTTACTGGATGACTAAAAAGCTAATATAACATAAAGTTAGAACTAAACAAAAACAGTGGAGAGAGAGAAATGGAAAACATCCTTAAAATGAAAACTTAAAGAAGTAAAACATACTGACAAGGTGAGCTGCAAAACTGAAGATGTTCCAGCAAAAAAGGCTTTGTGGAAAACCTCACCATTTTTGGCTACTTCTGCTATGACGTTAGCTACTTTTGCAGTGCAGGAGGACTGCGGAGTCAATAGGCTTGCAAACACTTGGAGAATTCCACTTTTCTGGATTTTTTCACTTGTCTCAATATCTGAAAAGAAAGATATACAACACAAGATTTTGTAAAAGCAGATAGTGATCAGCCCTTCAAAGTTGTCCTCATCAGGAAGTAGACTCCACAAGAAAACCGGATCTAAGCTTTATTAAGATAGGCTATATTAATAGAATCTGTATGTATTTTTCTTCCTCCTTCTTATACCCCGGTGAGTGAGGAGTCTTTCCTAATACTAACTCCTTTCCCAGGGTTTAAGGAATGCTTGTATTCTTTTTGTTTATGTAATATTTCTGAATATTTCCCTCGAGACCATCTCCATGACTCTCTACAATTAGTGAAATCCTTCCTTCCTTCCTTACCCAGAGTTTTCATCAACTCCTCCTTAATCATTTTAATGAAAAGTACTAAAGATGGAAACTAAGACCTATCTGCAAAATGTGTACTGTATTACTGAGCAACAGAACCAAATAGCAGAGGAAGCTTTCATACAATAAATATTAATTGTTTATATTATTCTATATTATATAAATATTATAGACTAATATATAAAAAGATACAGTAATTTTATTTTGAGGAAGTAATCTTGAGGAAGGAGTAAACTATATGGGTATATATGGAGACAACAAATTTGATGGAGGTGTTAAGGGTATTGTGTTCCACCGTGTAACAGTAACTTGATGGATTTTCATTGTTGTTGTTTTTTTAGATTTTTTTATCCCACCTTTATTATTTTTATAAATAATTCAAGGCAGCGAACATACCTAATACTCCTTCCTCCTCCTATTTTCCCCACAACAACCCTGTGAGATGAGTTGGGCTGAGAGAGAGTGACTGGCCCAAAGTCACCCAGCCGGCTTTTGTGCTTAAGGCAGGACTAGAACTCACAGTCTCCTGCTTTCCAGCCTGGTGCCTTAACCGTTTGTCTTAACCAACTGGCTCTCTGGTTTTATTGTTCTAACTGGTTTTATTGTTCTAATAGTACAACAGTATGTCAAGTTCTAATTTGATCAGGGAAGTGTTAGGTATGGCACACCAAGTTAGGAGAATAAAATATTTCCACAAATATATCAAGTGAGGATCAAATGATAACTTCTGACACATGGTGAGCAGTTATTACAGTTATTTTTCCAGCTCAAAAGAAGCTGCCTTTGAATTAGATCTGGATTACGGCCTAGTATGTGGGATAGGGGAACTTTTAAATTCTTGTCTGCTATCGTCCTGATTCAGATGATGGGGCTTATACTGGCAATTTGCACTGGAAAAAGCTGAGTCCAGTATAAAACATATTGTCTCTCAACCTTATCACAGTGTTATGATACTAATTTCAGAAAGAATTCCCTCAAATCTCCAAAGCAAAATGGGACAAGAGTCCCAACTCTGCTTTCTAGTGAGGCCAATTAATCACCATCAAATAATAATTTAAATCTAAACTACATGCCTTTTTAAAAGACTCTCAGAGATTGTACCCAGAGACCTATCCCCACAAATACTCTCTGTGCTAAACATGAATTCTAGAACTGAACTACAGTGTGCTCTGCATCTGGTCCTGGAATGCCCTAGATTATTACCTTCTGGGTATCAGTTAAGCGCTTTCATTCTTCCAAACCTTTTAATATATTATATTGAATATCTTAATTATGTATTTTGCAACAGAGCTTTTTAATCAGACTAAGCTTATTCTCTTGCTTTTATTGTTTCTTTATTATGATTTTTAAAAATTGCTTATTTTTTGTAATATTAAACATTGTTTTGAAGGATGGCACACCAATGTGTTAAACAATTACATAATACATGGCCTTATCTAAATCCCTAACTCTAATGGGATTTGCCATTCAATGTATCAGCTTGTGCTCAACTCAGCATTCTATTAAAAGGAAGCTAAGGCACACAGTCCCACAGCATCTCATTGTCTTCATGACAAACTTATATACAGGTCAGGAAACCACAGTATGGACAGAACATGGTGAAATAAACTGCCCCAAGTTGTCAAAGGAGTGCAACAAGGCTGTATCCTCTCTCTTATATATTCTTCCCCTGAATATATATTGGATTGGAAGAAGATGACTGTGCTTTTAAAACTGGAGGAAGAAACGTCAATAACCCGTGCTATGCTGATGACACTACTCCAATAGCCAAAATGCACAGGATCTCCAAGCTCTAGTAATAAAAGTTAAGGAGCAAAGTAAAAAAATGGGACTAAAATTAAACATAAAGATGACCAAACTAATGACAATAGGTAGACAACCAGCCTTAGAACTGGCAATAAAGATATTAAAGTGGTGGATAGCTTCTGCCTTTTAGTATCAACCTTCTACAGTAAAGGAACAAGCAGTCAAGAAATATGCCACAGACTAGGACTTGGCAGAGTAGGCGTGAAGGCCTTGGAAAATGCTGTGATGCCTCTATACCTACAAAGGCCAGAATTGTGCAAGCCATAGTATTCCCTATGATACTCTATGAGAGTGAAAGCTGTATTCTGAAGAAGCAAGATAGGAAGAGTATTGACACTTTGAACTTTGATGTTGGAGAAGTTTCCTGAGAATAATGTGGACAGCCAAGAAAACACATGGATCATCAAACAAATCAATCCAGAGTTCTCACTTTAGGCACAAATTATCTGACTTTGGTCACATTATGCAAAGATCAATTATCCTACTTTGGTCACATTATGCAAAGATCTAGCTTTCTGTAAAGGCTCTAATTCTGGGAAAGGTGGAAGGGAAGAAATGAAGAGGATGATGCAGCAAGGTAGATGGACTCAGTTACAGTGGTAATGTGTGCACCATTGGAAGATCTGAAAGATCAGGTTAGGGACAGATCATCATGGAGAAAATCTATCTATTTGATTGCTAGGAGTTGAAAATAACTTGATGGCACATAATCAATCAAAATCAAGGCACACAGAGTCTCTCAACTTATTACTATAGCAGTAGTGACAGTCCTCTTAGCTGGATCAACCATTACAGACACATATTTAAAGAGTGGTTAATGTATAAATAAATAAAGCATGTGAAAAAGACTGGGGTCTCACAAGGTCACAGAATGATCTCATGAGATTTTACCCAACTTTACCATTCTGCTGTTCTTATGAGATTTGAAAATCTTGTAAGGTTAGGCAACTAAGCACTTACAGGAACCATTTTGCTGACCCTTAGTCAAGGAATATGTCCAGTTGAACACAACTTTGAGTGAACAGTAACATTCCAGATAAAGTCTATGTGAAGCCTCCAATTCTAATCTCAAAGCCAGAAACTCAGTGAATGATATAGATAAACTGTTGTCTCTCTTCCTTAGAACCTCTACATCATTAATTTAAAGAAGCCAATACTGAAGGCTACCATATGGATTACAAAGAAAAAATATGTCTAGCATTTTAAATGTAAAAAATAATGTCTATTTTTAACAGCCAGAATAAAAATAGTATACCAGGGCACCTGTCTACCGGAACATCAAGAAATAATTTGAAAACAAAATTAGGATGCTTTTCTCTGTAAACATCATCTGCTGAAAAATACCTGCAAAAATGCTGGAAGCTAAGTCTATATCTAGTCTACTCACAAAAGAGGCACCAAAAAAAAAAAAAAAAGCTGTTGCAGATTCCAGGCAATATTAAGTATGCTTTAAATAGTATGACCTTTTTCCTAGTTCCATTTTTCTACAAAGTCAAGACCAATTTAACAGCTCTTTATTTTAAGTTACTACTGTTTGCTAACACAGCATCCATGTTATGACCAGGATGTATATTTTCAGCTTTTGGGGAGTCAAAATTCTACCCAGCGCTATTGTTTTATTAAGTTCACTTCTGAAAGCAGTTGCCTAACCTTCCCTTACTTCATCATGCCAGAGATCAGCTGCAACATTGCTGGTGCTCTAGGTTTAATTAAGATTGGAAGAAAGGGAAATGGACAACTCTTTCCTCATTAATCTGAAACTATTTGGCATAATCATCAATATTTCTGCTTTTTAGCCAGCCCTGCAAATATTCAACCACAGAGGTTCATCAACGTAATAGAATCTAACTTGCCTAATAGTATTGCCTGTTGAATATACCCTCTACTTCAAATTGTGTCATGAAAGTTGTGAACGGCTTATTATATGAGATGAAGAATATATAAACAAGCATGACAGTCACATGCAATGTAACCTAAAACATTCCATCTTGTTCTCACAGCCTCTGCAACAGATGAGTAACTGCAAAAATGTGTAGTTATGAACTTGAGATAGTAAGGGATCTAATTATCATGTTACCTTTTGAGTTCCCCTCCAGTATAATTCACTTTCAAAAACCAAATTTTCTTCTATTATTTACTTTTCAATTTATATACTACATTCCAACTGCTTTTTGAAACTAATAATGAAACAACAAATTCACCTGGAAAGAAGTCAACAACATCAAAGCTAATGTATTCAAATAACCAGTAACGTGAAATACATTTCCTTGACATAACAGAAGATTCCACAGAAACATATCATTTTGGTCTATTATTCTTTTCCCCAATTCTTCAGACTGAATGTGCCAGTGCTAGGCTTTCTGGCAAAGTTATTATTTTGTTTAGTTGAAAACTGAACAAGTGAGGCCAGATGATAATGCACGAAGACACTGCATTTAGAAGAAATTAAACATGATTACAACCCTAACCAGGAGAGAGGAAATCTTACAGTATGTTGTTGTACCTGTCACTTGCAGAAATTAAACGTGCAATGCTTTCATTTCCTCTACCAAAGATTCCTCGAACCTATTATTATTTATCTAAATCATCCAATGTCACTATCCTCTTTTATGTTTAGCACAACTAAAAGTAAAGCATCTTAAAGCTGAGCATGTTGTGGCAGAAAATTTCAGATAAGGGGCCTTACTGGTTTAGTAAGTGTTGATCAGATAAAATATTATAGATTTTGTGCAAATACATCATTTTCTCTTAATAAGCACTCTCAAAGTTATAAACGGAACTCTGAGTACAAAAAACCGAGCAGGTTCTGGTCCTGGGGTACAATAAATGTAGCTTAAGAGATGAGGCAAAGTGTCATTTTATAGA